GGGAAGGAAGGAAAGAAGGGAGGGGGAAAAGGAGAATGGGGGGGGGAAGGAAGCCAGGAGGGAGGGAGGATGGAAGGAAGAAGGAAAGGAGGGAGGAAGGGAGGGGAAAGAAGAATAGAAAAGGAAGGCAGCCAGGAGGGAGGAAGGAAGGAGAGAGGAAAGGACGGAGGGGAAAGAAGAATAGAAAAAGAAGGAAGGAAGGAAGCTGGGAGGAAGGAAGGAAAGGAGGGAGGAAGGGGAAAGGAGAATAGAAAAGGAAGGAAGAGAGGGAAGGAGGAAGGAAAGAAGGAGGAATGAAGGAAAGGAGGGAGGGTGGGGAAAGAAGGAGAACAGAAAAAGAAATAAGCCAGGAGGAAGGAGAGATGGAAGGAAGGAGGGAGGGAGGAAGCCATCCCGCTTTGGTTGGGTCTTTTCGAAAAGCCGCCTCCAAGGCCCGCAGTTCCATCCAGTGAACTTGGCGGACCCTCCATCAGTCACAAACTTCCGGGTTCACCGTCTTAAGCGAAGGAAGCGGAAGTCCCTCGGCTAGACTTCCGCCCCCATCTCTCAGTGTACGAGAGCTGGCCTAGAGAAGCCGGAAGCTACCCTGGAGCGGTTCTGTGGCAACCCGTTGCCGGCTGCGAACTCCTGTGCAGGTCAGTGGGCGGGAAGCGGGTCGCCATTCACCTTTCCTCCCGCGGCGGTTCCAGGACGGCAGGCATGGTTGGCCCGAGCGGCCTCTAGGGCACGGGGGCGGGCGGAGGGCTTCCTGGGGAAGGAAGAGAACAGAAGAGAAAAGGGGCTTTGGAGGTCTTCTAGTCCAGCCCTCCCCAAGTAGGAGACTCTAGACCAACCCTGGCCTCTTTAAGCCTGGAGGACTTCAACTCCCAGAATTCAAGCTTGGCCCCTTTAAGCCTGGAGGACTTCAACTCCCAGAATCCCCCAGCCAGCTTTCCTGGCTGGGGAATTCTGGGAGTTGAAGTCCTCCAGGCTTAAAGGGGCCAGGGTTGAAGTCTCCTGCCCTAGACCATTGCTGCCAAATGGATATGAAGTCTCTCCTTTGGAAAAAGCTCCACTGATGGGGCTCCCACCACTTCTGAAGGCAAGCCCTTCCACGGGTTAATGGTTCCCTTTGAGAGCTGCATGCAAAGACATTTCATGCTAATGCACGCCGATTAGTGTACTTTCAAAGTGACAATAAAGTTATTCTGTTATCAAATTTATCAAATACACTGACCAACTGACTTAAGTGAGCGAGTCTGATTAGGGTCGCATCCTGATTAGGGATGTGCTTTGAATCTCTGCGCGGAGAGACCATGTTTCAACTGAAGTTTTCCTACTGAAATTGCATTAATAGGATTATGTAGGCTGCCAGTGTCTGCTTTTGCAGATAAGGCTGATAAAGAAACATATTCTTTAGTATCACGTGTGTTGAAACAAACTGTAAAGCTAGAACTTCAAGCTTCTTTGGATTCAAATACAACATTTCCTCATTCATTTGTTACTCAAAGTTATACTTACAGATCTAAGAAATCTGGAATACATGGAATAAATAACTTGGATTATAAATGATCTCATTCAGATCGTATCAATTCTTCTTGCAGATTGAACCTATATGTCTGAGTATGCAGATACCAGCCTGCCCCCAGAAGACCGGGTCAGAGGTCTTATTCATATGGGGAGTTGTGTGGAAGTGAATGAAGATGTTCCACCACGGAGATACTACCGTTCAGGTGTTGAAATCATCCGGATGGCAACTATTTATTCCGAAGAAGGCAACATCGAACGTGCCTTTATATTGTACAACAAATACATTACGTAAGAAATAAGCATTGCTCAATAATAAGCCTCTATTCTGACAAATCAGTAGATTATCTATGTGTTGCAAATTAGCTAGATATTCTGGAATTTGTAACGGATGTGACTAAACTTCTTATTTATCTATAGCCTGAATGAGTCCGTCCGTTTTTTGCCTGGGCTTTTGCATCATCTAATTAAAACATATAGGGACCAAAACTACAATTTCTCCAAAGTGTCTGTTTCTCAGTTGACTTTTAACTTTGATGAATAACTGCCCCATCCCTGATTTAGGAAATAAATAAATTGGTAATAGTCTTATTTGATTGAGCAAGGCCATTAAATCATTCGCAGCGCTCACCAAGGAAGAATATGTCAAATAAATGGTAAAATACCAAAACTTTCCACAATTTTCCCAACAATAATTTTTTTCCAGATTAGCCATTAGCTTCTTTTAATCTTGTTGCTTTTTATATTTTTATGATGTTATTCAAAGGTACAAGTGAAAATCTTTATTAATCAAATTTTATTCATACAAGCCTAAGAAAAATACATATGCAGATTATTTTACTTGTTGTGTTGCTCTTTATACGTCCTAATAGAAAATTGTCTTACAGAACTCAGTGTAACCTGATATTAAGAAATGAGTGGAATAAACAGAAATTCTGGCATTGTTTAAACAATGGGCAAGAGTGTCAGTGGTCCCCAAAGTATATAAATGTATTTAAATAGCTATAGAATTGCAACTTCATTATAATGACATTTTTGTATTTCTTTCAATTTTGTTAAATAACTTTTTAATGTGTTTTTATTCTCTTTGACAATGTATCTTTATTACATTCCTTCCTTTTACTTCAAACAAGTCTAATATTTAATTCATTCAAGTGATGTCATTGAATTTGTTTCCTATCATTTTTTTCTTTGTCCCTTCTCATGATGTTCTTCAAAACTTTAGCAAGCTTTTTGTAATTTCAATTTATAAACATTATCCAGGTAGTACTCTCTTGGTTTATTGTTGGTATGATGCCCAATGTAAGATCTTTTTCCATGTCATTCTTTTAGTCTGTCATTTAAAAAATCCCTTTCAAACTTAGTCCTGGCCTTGTCAGGTAGAACTTGATCCTTAATGTCTTTCAACAATCTTTCCATAGAAGTACATGTTTCTGTTGACACTCATAAAATTAACTTCTGAATCCATTATTCAAAAAAAAAAAAAAAACCCGCCCTCAATATGTCCAATGTTAGAATATTTTGGTTCATTCTTAATATTTTGTCTCATTCTTAATTTGAGTTTATGTGTTCTCTTTTAATTGTAATTTTTTTGTTCTCTCGAGTGTCTAATATAGTCCTTTCTGGTATCCACAATCTGTCTTTCTTTATTAAAAAAACAATCTTGTCTCTAAAAACTATGCTTTTAAGAGTCGTCTAACCCTGGGATGTATAGCCTCTGGCTCTGTGGACTTACCATTTGCCTTGCCAGCTTGCCAAAGATAAGGAGTAAAGGGTGGAACACTGAACAGTAGAGTCATTTAAGAGGATGTTATATAATATTTGAATTAAAAAATAGGATATAATAAATAAGCAAATCAATCGATCAAAACATGTGGAGAGCCTCACATTCTCATTTTTGGCATAAGGACTCTGATTAAAATGTGTAGACCTATTCTTAGCCAACCAGGATAAATATGCTTCAGCATGCTAAGCCTCATTTATGCTCCATGTCCCCTTGTGCTCTGTTCTCCCAGACTCTTCTTAGAGAAACTCCCCAAGCATCGTGAATATAAAACTGCAATCATTCCAGAGAAGAGAGAGACAGTGAAAGTAAGTGGTAAATATATTTTTCTTGTAAGAGTTTCCCCTAAAATTGCCTGTTCCCTGGCGGTGGGAAAAAGTAAGTTGGCTGCCCAGGTCGTGGGTTCAGAAGGCTCTTCTGAGAGAGTTCGTATAAGTTTGATGTACAAACTTGATGCTCCTCCTGTGAAACTGAATATCACTGTTGAATCTCACATTTCCTATTTTGTGCTATTTTTTCTTAACTCAGAAACTAAAAGAGGTTGCATTCCCTAAAGCAGAGGAGTTGAAAAAGGAGCTTTTAGCAAAATACAACAAAGAATATGCAGAATACAATATACAGAAGGTGAGTAACAGGATGTTATGGAGCCTTGGCCGCTGGAATGTTTGGCGTCCAGTCTGGCTGAGCCAGAAGCAGACAAGTTGGCTGTCATGCTAGCAATGCTGACCCGGATTGATTCTCCTTAATTTCTGGGAATCATTATGTCTGCTGAAGCTCTGAGAAAGCCCAGTCGGTATCTTTGGAGATATCGGGAGAATGCACGGTCAAGAGACAAAATAAGCTGCATCAAGATAAAAAGTGGGTAGGGCCTTAACAAAAACTAAAAATGATTTGATTTAAATGTAAAAACAATGATTATATCTAATGTGAATATTGTTTAATATAAACGACAACAGCTGGTTAATGTTGTCTGGGTTCTGAATCTAAGAAGAGTTGGGCCTGGATAGTACTTGAATAAGAAACAGAGAAATGCGGGGTGGGTGGGAATTGTTGAATGCATTGCTGAGGTTGTGACAAACGATGTCCACTGCACTTCCAGGATGACTTAAGCCAGTCACTTTATCAGAAAAAGGAGATCAGGTTGGCCTGGCCTAATTGTTTCTTGATAAACCCATATCACTGTCCATTTAGTCCCAGCCCCAATTCCATCTCCCTTCCTTTCTACTTATTGTTTTCAGCTCCTCTTTCAGCCAAGTTTCCCTTTGTACATTAGCTTTTCTACCTAGTTTCCTCCTAACATAGATGGAAAGGCAAAGTTAAAACAATGCAAGCAATTTATATATAGGAAGTTGCTTTACGAGCCAGTCACCTAATGAATTAACCTGCTCTAACTGGTGGATCGAATTCTCCCAAAGATGAGCTCAGCTCCTCCTGTCAACCCAGGGGGGGGGAGGGAGGAAACAGGGTCACACGTGACTGTGAGTTACGTATGCCAGAGTTGGCTTCATTTAGGTCAGCGGTCTCCAAACTTGGCAACCTTAAGACGTGTGGACTTCAACTCCCAGAATTCTCCAGCCAGAAGTCCACACGTCTTTAACGTTTCCAAGTTTGGAGACCTCTGATTTAGGTTAATGCCAGCATGTTGCTCCTAATAAATCCTTTGAGTTTTTCTGACACTTGGCTCAAGGCTCATGATTTAATCGGGGCAATTGCCGGAATCCTGACAGTTGCTCAGTTTTCAGCCCAGACATTGCGGCCAGGGAAGGAGATGCCCCAAGAGCGTTGCTCCCGCTGCCATTCCCCACGTGACCTGCTGGCTCTCCCCTTCCCCGTTCCAGAAGAAGCAAGAGGAGGCATTCGCTCGCACCTTGGCCCTGCAGCAGCAGCTGGAGGAGGAGAGGCAAAGAGTGGCCCGCATGAAGCAGCAGCAAGCCGAGCAGGAGCAGTTCCACGCCTTTGAAGACATGATCCGGCGCCAGGAGCTGGAGAAGGAGCGCCTGAGGGTGGAGCAACAATTTGGGGCAGCAACTGTAGGCCCCCCGGAGGGCCCCTTAATACCTGGCGTGCTCAAGCCCCCCACCGACCCCCAAACTCTTATATCCGCTGGTCAACCTTGGAGCCCCGCGGGAGGAAGCGGACTGCCGCAGCCCCCCGTAGTGGACAGGTCGCTGAAACCTGGCGCTTTGGGGAACTCGGAAAACAGTACGTTTTGGCATGAATGTGGTCCGCCTTCTAGGCTGGGGATGCAGTGATGGCCCTGCCAGGGTTGCTCCAAATAACCCCTCTCCCTGCACCACCCAGTCCCTTTGTTGCAGATGAGGGAGTGCTTAAGATGCCAAAAATGGATCTATTTAATATACTAATTTTAGCAGAATATATGGGATGGCTCGGCATTTCTGTTGCCATCTGAAATCTGCTGTTTTCCAAAAACTTAAATCCTCCCAAAGTCAAATCTGCTTGAGAAATCTTCGGGGTGCTTCTCTTTGCCTCCCATGGCAGCCTCCACCCGGCCTCCTGGCTAGCTAGTGTTGTGCCGCTGTCCCAGAGTAGATTCTTGCCACCTGCACCTTCTAAGCATGGTGGCCTGGAAAGAAGCACTGGGGTCAGAGGGAGCCCTTCGTGTCTCCAGATGAAGGCCCACCCTGCTCCCCGCCCTGCTCCACCTTCTTCTGAGGAATCCAGGTGGGTAAGAGTCAGGTCACCTGGCCTTGGAGAGAGTTTTTCCTCAAGGCTTGGCCACATGACGGCCTTCAGCTGGAAAACCTTGACCTCTAGCCAGTGGAGGGTCCTGGCCATAATACTGCTCCCCGACCTCATTTGTGTCACTGAAAGGTTTTCAGACTGAGAATCTCCATAGACATTTAAAAAAAAAACCAGAATGTAAAAGCTGGATTAGCACAAAACCACTTTGGGAAAAGATTCCAGCACTGCTGTAAGTTAGCTGATTATTCTCACTATTTTTGGCAGGAGTTTCCTCTGGTTAAAATAACGCTCGGCCCTCTGAAAACATAAATACCAAGTCCATGTTTTTCTGTGCCCTATTTTCCAAATACCAAGTGAGACTGCTAGGCCTTTTGAGCTGTAGGCAGAGCTTGTGATGGATAAAATGGTCTCTACTTTAGCAAATCTGCAAATGGGGGGTGGGATTCAGCCTATTACACCCCGTGACTCTGCTCTTCCCTTCCAGACGCAGTTATAGATGGTCTTCGCCACATCGTTGTCCCCAGGGATCTGTGCCATAAATTTCTGCAGTTGGCAGATGCAAATACAGCCAGGGGCGTGGAGACCTGTGGGATCCTTTGTGGGAAGCTGGTAAGATGATGGCATAAATCCTCAAGGCCGCGTGAAATCTCCTGAACTGGTAGCTTGATCATTTGGAAATATCCTAAATAGTAATGCAGGTCTCGCCGTTCCTCTTGGTAGGAAGTATGCAAGTATAGGAAACGGAAGCAGGTCTGAGTAGTCAGAAGAACTATAAGGTCACATTACGGTCCTGTCACTGTTAGAAACTGTTGCCTTTCATCGTGGACTTTGGTAATTTAAGTATGACTCTACGATTACACGTTATTGCAGGAGTCCCTAAATATTTTTAGGCCCAGAGTGAATTGCAAATGGTAAGGAATTTGCCCTATAAATTCAGGCAAAGCAGATGGCCAGTTCTGGTCCCCAGGATCCAAAAAACTTCCTAACAATTGGAACAATTAATCAGTGGAACAACTTGCTCCATCACTGGAGCTTTTTAAGAAGAGGCTGGACAGCCATTCGTCCAGAAATGCTCACACAAATGGAGTCCCATGTGCATGCAAGTGCCCACCCCTCATATAAGTGGAGCCACACTCACCCAGAGCCATTTCCTGTCCCCCTTCCATTGCAGCTCTGAAAGCCGGAAAGGTTGGGGACCCCAGTTTTAGAGGACGCCACATCTGCCCCGCCTGCCTACTAACCATTTACCTGAAAAGGCTCTTTGCTGATCTTTTCCCCCCCCCCTCCCCCCATGACCTTTGGCCTTGTTTCTCTCCCCCATCAGATGAGGAATGAATTCACAATCACCCACGTCATTGTCCCCAAGCAACACGGAGGCCCCGACTATTGCAACACCGAGAGCGAGGAGGAGCTCTTCTTAATCCAGGACCAGAACAGCCTGATCACCTTGGGATGGATCCACGTAAGCCTCCTTGGCCGGGGCCCTTCCAGGGTCCAAACCCTGCCTGCGGGTGGGCCTCCTTCGTCCCCCAGAGAGAATGGCTGCAGGGCAGAGGTAGAGCCTGTTCCCGGACAATGCCCTCTCTGGGATCCTCTGCTGGCCTCGGGGGCTTCCACTGGAGGAACAAGGACCTGCGAACTCCAGCAAGCTCCTATCAAAGTCCCCAGGAGAGGATTCTTGAGTGGGGGGGACTCTGGTGAATCCTGCACCTTCTCCCCACTCAGGAGTCCTCTCATGGGGACTTTGGCAAGAGCTTGCGAGAGTTCCTAGGTCCTTGTTCGTTTTTTTAGAAGTTCATATTTTCCACAATTTTTTTCCTCATTATATATATATCTGTAAACAAGAATGCCTAGGTGTCTCAAAACTGTACCCAAAAGTATATTTTTGAGAATAAAAGCCAGCAAAATATAAACGAATACCACTTAAAAATGTTTATCTCCAGAAAGTACAGAAGAAAATTTTGTGTTCAGCCTTTTAAAAAACAGAATGGAAAAAATGCCCTGATTCTAGCTTCCTTTTATCATCTGCCCTGTTTCTTTCTTCCTTTAGACTCATCCTACTCAAACGGCTTTCCTCTCCAGTGTGGACCTGCACACCCATTGCTCCTATCAAATGATGTTGCCAGAGTCTATAGCTATTGTTTGTTCACCAAAGTATCAAGAGTAAGTTACTGGACTGTGTACGTCCCAGTCTGGTTGTGAGATTGAGTAAGATCACAGGGTTGCATTTGGGACTACAAACCCCTCACATCCTGGACACCAACTGTTTCAATTCCTCCCCTCGGGATGCACTGCAGGGCACGGCATGCCAGAACAACCGGACACAGGGGCGTTTTTTCCCCCTCGTGCCGTCAATCTGCCGAACACCTAATTCTCACAGTGCTGTCTAATGTCTGTGTGTATTTCCCCATGTATTATGGCTGCAGTGTTATCACTTACCTTTCTTATTAGCTTCTTTCTTCCTCTCTACCCTTAATTGGGATGACTGATGATGATGAATCTGTTGCTTTGTATGTATACCGAGAGCTATTGCACCGGAAACAGATTCTTTTGTGTTTCACACTTGACCAATGAAGCCTATGCTATGCTAGGCTAGGCTATGCTATGCTATGCTATGCTATGCTACTGTTCTCTACTCTACTCTCTATTCTTTCCCTAATTCCAATATTCTTTTCTATTCTATTCCATTCTATTCTGAATCCTATTCTATTCTATATTTGATTCTATTCCATTCTCTATTCTTTCCTTATTCTGTTCTCTATTCCATTCCAATCCAATTCCCTATTTTATTCCACTGTACTCTATTCATATTGCTTTAAGGGGCAAGCACCACATTTCAGACGTGCTCCGTGCCCCTCTGAATAACGAATGAAGTTGGGGAAGATTGGGATTCAGAGGCATCCCAGCTCCATTTAAGCAGCTCATGAATGAGCCTAGTTTGTTCAAATCCTGTGGAAATCCTAGTTCTGTCCCGGTCTACCTGTTGGGGGAAACTTATCCCAAAATGAGAAGGCTGGGAGCACAGGAGGGCAAAACATATCCATTGGAGATAAGCAGGCTTGTGGTTTTGTAGGTAGAAAGGGATTGTTCAGTGTTGGACAGGGGTCTCCAACCGTGGCCACTTTAAGATTTGTGGACTTCAACTCCTAGAACTCTGGGACTTGAAGTCCACGAGTCTTAAAGTGGCCACAGTTGGAGACCCCTCTTTTAGGGCAGGTTTCCTCAAGGGGCAGCCGCCTCTGTTCTTCCTAACTTAATGCTACTCTTGGCCCCGAGGCCATTTGCAGCATTGGGGCCAGCTGATTTTTTCCACCGTTGCTGTTGTCTAGGACTGGATTCTTTAAACTGACCGACCACGGGATGGAGGAGATCTCGTCCTGCAGGCAGAAAGGATTCCATCCCCACTGCAAAGACCCTCCTCTCTTTACTGTAAGTGGGATCCAGCAAAGCTGGCTGGGGAATTCTGGGAGTTGAAGTCCACCAGGCTTAAAGTGGCCAAGGTTGGAGGCCCCTGCCCTAGGGAGAGGGTGAACCATTGCCTTTTTAAGAGAAGGCGAGATGGCCCTGTCTCCCGGGGAGAATTCCTCCGATCCAGAGAAGGCCCTGGCCCTTCAGGTTCTACATTGTTCCAGACTCTCATGGTTTTCTTTTCTCTCTTTCAGACTTGCAACCACGTGACCGTCATGCAAGAGGAAGTGGTGGTGCTGGACCTTCGATGAGGCTGCCTTTCTATCTCTTGATCAGCTCTTCCTGTCTTCCTTAAAGTTAATTTATGGTTGCTTCTCTCACTTCCTGTGCAGTGATAACCCAGAATCTGACCTGTAACAGAGCCAAGGAGTTTTGCCTTCTCTTGGATCCCACGTGAATAATAATTTGGGGCCGTCGCTGAGAATCAGTAAAGCAAAATTATATACTAAAATGAGCCCTGACCTTGACATGGCTAGTCTTGGCTGCTGACTGAGGTTTTTCAACAAACCAGGCTCCAGAACACACACACACAGGCACAAACAAACAGGAACAAAGGCTTGGAAGTGTTCGGCTTGATGCAAAGAACATCCCTCCGTCTCTGTATTAAGATCTGCTCAACTCTTGCACCGTCTTGGGAAACCTCCGTCCTATCAGTGGTTTGGAATTCTCACGCTCAACTCTGCTGTGCCAAAATTTTGACTTTAGTGAGCAGTAATAAAGCAAGTTTTGTGTCGAAGGAAGTGCCCACAAAGGAAACCAAGCTATTGTCTATTTGATTTCTCTTCCCTAAATCGGGTCCCCAACCTTTCCGGTTTTGTGGATGAGCTGGGGGGAGGAAACAGTTCCAAGCGAGCGGCAGACACACAGGCAGCATGCACTTGCTTGCCACAGCCTGGGGATTAGGGACCCCTGCCCTAGATAATGGCCCCTTGTTCCAAGGGAAGAATTCATGTGTTTAAAAGAAGAGAGAATTGACGTTTATTGAAATAACTAGCTTTTTTTTTTTTTTGGTTACCAATGTCTCCCTTTTTAGGGATCTGCATTTTACCAAAACATATCACCCTAAGCTTAATGTTTCTGCTGCTGTCCTTTTAAAGCCTGTTGAAGGATGGAACTATCCTGTATAGGCCACGTGCAGAAAAGGATGTGGTATCAAAATGCTCTCTAAGAAATCATCTTCATTGTATTCAGTCGGCTTGTAGGTGCCTTTTCCGTGCTATGAATCGAAAGAGAGTGGATGAGATCAATTAAGAGCAAATCTCCCAATTTAGCCACCCGGCCATGTCCTCAAATGTGCCGCTCTAGGAATTACATCTAACCATCAAGAATGATGATGATGTGCTGGTGTTTGTCACCACTATATCAACCAACCCAGTTTAAAGTGAGGGCTGAGCAATGGAGCCCAGTCCCTGCTGTGGACCTGGAGCTGCCTAGCAAAAGGGAAAGAGGCAAGCGCGTATCCAAGCCCAGTCGATTCCCCTCCTGCTGCTGCTGCTGTGATCCTCTCCTAGCCCAAGGTGAAAAGAGCGCCCAAAATAGGCACGTGACCTCCCTAAAGTGTTCCTTAATAGCAGCTGATGCCAAACGAGACCCTTCCTAATTCCTGATTTTCTCCAGTGGCTTCATCCATCCATTCATTCATAATGAGGTCTAATTCTGCAGAGAGAGAGAGAGTGGGACATGAAAATGCCTAGCATTTCTGCAGAAATGCCTTCGTTGCGAAACAGGCCAATTGTGGCTTGGTGTGGACTTAACTTTTGCACTTATTTTGCAGATTTGCTTCTGCTGACCAATTTCTGGTGCCATTGTTTCCAGGGGTAAAAGAGCTGGTTCTGGTGTCCTGGACAGAGCTTTGCTGTTGACCAAAGGATCTGTCTAGTCCAGGTTTTTACTCGTTTGAGCATGAAGCCAGGGCTACAGCCGATCCTGGTAGTTTTCTTGGGATACTCTGGAAATGTTAAACCCTGTTGCTTCTAAGTAGGGGGATTCCAGTTTCTGATACAGGCATGTTCTTGGTTGAAGCTGTGTCAGAAGTAGAGGAGCCACCAGCAACAAGGTGGACTCTCTTCCCACCTGCCACCCCGCTGTTTTTAAGATTGGGGGGGGGGCGGATTTCTTTCCTTACTCCCCTCTTACTCCACTTCCCTCTCAGACTCATTTCATCCGCCTCCGTCTCCCCATTGCTGGGTGCAAGTTCATTGGGTGCCAGTGTGCCGCCGCCTTCCTGGGGCAGCCGTCGGCTGACAGACGCATCCAAAGACAGCCGGGATTCCCACAGCCCTCTTCCCTCATTGGGCTTTCTGGCCGAGCCGGTTGGAACTTCCACTTTTCGCCTGTAATCTTGTGTAGACTGAATGAGCCCGTCTGTTGGCTGTGGGTGGGTCAAAGCGCATCGCTTGCAAAGGGAAGAGGAACTGGGTTGGAATGAAATGGCCTGTTTTTAAGGGGCCACCTTTCCCCCCCCCCACCGCCCTGCAAGCGTCTGTTGGGGTCGAAGTGAGGGATCTGGAGGTGACTGTTGCTGCCGAGCCCCCCTCCTCGAGCGTGGAGGCAGATGGAGAGGAGCGATGGGAGGAGCGAGCTGCTCCCTCGTCCTGGGAGCCTCCGTCTGGCGTGCTCTGCGCCTTGCTAGCCTCCCTCTTTCCTGGCGCCCCCTCCAAGGAGCCTCTGCCGGGCTCTGAGGCACATTCATTTCCCTTAAAAAGGCAACGGGGAGTTTCTCCGCATCTGGTTGGATCTCTGGAGGCGCCTCGTTCTTCTTGTGTGGCAGATTCTTTTCCTCACAGCTGGCAGGGAAATAGGCCGTGTGCCACCCAGGGCAGCCGAAGGAGCCCCCGGGCGACTCTGAGGGGCAGCCAGGTTGCCGGCCCTGCAGGCAGAGGGGAGGCTGGGGCTGGATGGCCCATTCGGGTCGATTAAAGGGAAGTGGGGGGCGGGGTCAGGGCCCCAAAATGGACCCTGCCAGAGGGAGTCCGTGTGTAAACGCCTGGATGAGAACTGGATTTGCACCAGGACGGGGAGGGGGCATTTCAGCAGGTCTCAGAGGGCACGTTTCATGCTGACCATTGTCTGCTAATGTTCAGAGTGAGTGGAAAGTTGACCAGAAACTTCCTAGCAGTGGACCAAAGAGCAGCGTCTTCTGCTGAGGAGCCTCTGGGGTGAACTGACACGTGTGGCGCATCGGCTCCCGAGGCATGGAGGACAGGAATGGTGGTTTGCCATTGGCTATTGCCCCCTTCTCCTCCCCTCCCCCCCCCGTTCTTTAGGGAGAAAGGACAATGCCCATGTTGGGCATAAACGTGTCTCGGGCCCTCATCCGCTGTTTAGCATATTCTCCATCGGTCCTTGATGAGAACATCAGCTTCTGCTGTGCCAGGAATGGCTTCTCTTCCTCTTCATAGCACAACTGCTTTCATGGTGGCCCCCAGTTGCGGTTCAATCCCTTGTTGGCATCAATCCTTCCAGGCTGATCTCTGCCATCTCCGGAGGGCTCATCTTCGGATGGCCAGTTCCCCATCCGATTCAGCTGCAGTTCCGTGACTGGGCGCTTCAAAGCATTGATGCTTTCAAGGCAGAAACCCTAGAAAGAGGGAGGCCTCCCAGGAAATTCAGTCATTTCCCAGGTTAAGATCCTTCAGGACAGCCTTTTTATAGTCAGTCAGAACAAGGTTTTCATTCAGCATGTGACAAAATATAAATTACTTGACAAGCCATATAACCCTTCTGTTATGCTGAATTACATGCAAAATATGGTGTTAAAACTGCCATGAGAGAAAATATAGACCAAGTGGAAAGAAATGTATTTTAAATCAAATCAATTTACACTCAACGTCTTTAAATAAAATGGGTGAGTTGGAAAAAATGTTACTTCCATCTTGGGGGGGGGGTTGGGGGGAGGTCACCATAAACCAGTATTTCTCAGCTTTAGCAACCTGAAGTTGTGTGGACTTCAATTCCCAGAATCCCCCAGCCAGTGCATGCAGGCTGGAGAATTCTGGGAGTTGCACATATACCTTAAAAGTGGCGAAGGTTGAGAAACACGGCCGTAGATTAACACAGCTCTCTTCCTACGGGGTCTGCGGTGTCTCTTTTGCCGTTCAGCTTCTACGTGAAACCGCAAAGGGCGGCCATTCAGAGTTCTGGGGTGGAATGAAGTATAAGAGAGAGCCAGTGGGCAGCAGCTCCGTTCTTCTCTGCATCTTGGAGCTGAGCGGCTCCCTTCTCCGTTCAACTTCCCTTTGAAAGTAAAAGAGGGGTAACACTGGTAAAGGCCAGTCGGCTGGGCCCATCGTCCTGTGCCCATCAGGAGGGGGAGGTTAAGGTGCCAGGCAAGTGTCGTTCAGCCTCGGCTCTCCCTCCTCTCTTCTCCACCTGAGGCAGATCGGATGTTCTTCCCACCGGAGGTGATGCCAGAGCCGCCTCCCGTGTCCTGCTGCCCAGGGCTGGGCCTTCCTTCCTTGGGCTCTGGCCCTCAGCCTGCTGGGGGATTTCACCCTGAGATCAAGACCCCCAAAGCCTGGCATTCAAATTCTCCATGCCTGCTTGGGATTTGGGGGTTGAGGCCGTTTGCATTCTGCCCCCGGCTGTCCCAAGCTGACCGTGGGAAGCTAGCTACGGTCAGGGCTGTGGAGTCCTTGGATGGGAGACCACCAAGGAATCCCAGGGTGTAGCCTCGGCTGAAAAATTAAAAGTTGGCAGAAAGCATGGGCGAAGACCCCCCCCCACCGCAAATTGTGTGCCAAACGAGGACACCAGCTGCCAAGAAAAATGGAAAGCCCCGTGGTGTGGCATGGTTAGATAGCGACCCTCTGAAAAAGGGACGGATGCCAAGGACGATGTCTTGAGTGGCCAAGAGGAATGCCGCCCAAGCGGGATTTGTAGGCCCCAGCAATGGCAAAGGACACGGGTGGGACTGGGTTCAAGGAGCTCTTTACACTCGGCCAAACAGGCGCTTTCTGAGAACAGCCACAATATACCCCAAACTGTCTCTGTGCCCAGATGAGTTGCCATTTTGTTGGGTTGGGTGTTAATTGTGTTTATCGCAGATCAGGTGCTGGCTGTGTCGGGCTCCAACTGAGCAAAAGAAGGTAAAAGGGTTGCAAAAGGGAAAGTTTCTCGATGGCAGGAAAGGCACAGATCTGACCTCCAGGTCCCCATCCGCCCTCAGTCTTCCCAAGGGGAGGGGACTCTCTAGGGTGCGTCCTCTTCCTTTCATGCTCATCCCAAAGGGAGCCGCGGAAGGATAGCCGAGCAGCCTTCAACAACCTCGCCTTTATGGGAGGCTTTCTCACCGCATTGCCTGGTACTGCAACTCCCTTCCTTCCTTCCTTCCTTCCTTCCTTCCCACCCTTCTTCCTTCCTCCCTTCCTTTTTTCCTT